ACACACACACACACACACACACACACATATATATATATATATATATATATATATATAACAGTAATACAATTCACTAGTAACAGTCACATTGTATATCTGGAAAATGCCCTTTAACAAATAATTAATCTTTATATGATAGATTCAAAAATACAAACTTGTAACATTTAACATAAATCATAATTATAGTTAAAATATTATAAAATATATAATCAAATAGAACAAATAATATTAAGTAACAGTACACAAAATAGTAAAACACTACATACAAAATAAATTCTTAATATCGCGGAAAATTACACACCCTTCAACATAATTCCTTTCAATAGATACATTAAAACATAGTTAAATAGCAGCTTGCCCTTTAACATTAAATACAACAAAATAACCCATAATGAAATCAGTAATATAATCATAATACAGTAAAGCCCTTCCGAAAAAAAAACACGAGCAAAATTAATTCTTAATAAAACATGCTAAATAAGCAAAATACAAAATAAATCTTAAGGTAAACTATAATTAAAAATGCAAAATACAAAGTATGAAATTCTTACACACATAGATAATTTCACTAAAACATCTTTCCTTAAAAGCAAAATATACGAGATCAAATAAACTCCAAAAATAAAAGTACGAAATAAGTCGTAAATAAGTTTTTTTTTCTACCTTTACAGTGTTTGTCTACCCCTCAAAGTGACCTCAACCCTGGGAAGATCTTCCTTGGATTCAGGATGCAGTGGTCCAGCCCAAGGTGCATGCACATTTGGTGCCTTCACTTTATCATTGATAAATAACGTCTGACATGACACCTTAAGAAAGGTTCCCGATACTATGTTGGTTGGTTGGTTGGTTGGAGTGTTATGGCACAAAGCAATTAGGCTATCTGCACTAAACAACCGGTAAAAACCGTGAAAGAAAAATTATTATAAAATGTAAAAATAAAACGAGTTAAAACTGAACAATGTCCACAATTCAGATAAAAGATTTAAATAGAATTAAAAAGGCCAATGGCTCGTAAAAACTTTTAAAATACAATCACGTTGGACGATGTCACCATTGCCAATGACACCGTCCAACGTCATGGGTAAACCAGTAGATAGTATATGTCGGAAATGGTTCCGCCGCTCACGGTCGTAACGATGGCACAACAGTAAAATGTGAGCTATTGTGACTTGAGTGTCACAAGTGCTACACATTGGTGGGTCAGTACCAGATAAAAGAAAACGACGAATTCAAAACTGATCATTGTGTGGTCTAGCCAGGACAACTTCCTCCTTCTGATCCTTACGGAACCTAAACGGCCAAAGAGCAACAGAAGGTTTGATCTGAAAAATCTTGTTATGACGTTGGTCATCCCAAATCGACTGCCTTGAATACAGAACCGTAGTCCATATAAGGGACAGCGTGGCAGTACCAGAACAGACGGACTTAGCTGTGGTGTCAGCGAGCTCGTTCCCGTGAATACCGACATGGCCAGGTATCCAAAAAACCTGGATAGAAACAGAAGATAGAGAAAAATGGGCCAGTCCTTGTTTAATATCGACGAGAACATGGCTAGAACTAACGTTAATCAATTCCAGTGACAGTAGATAGCAAGCAGAATCAGTGCAAATAGTATAATTACTGTACTGCATAGTTTCTACATGATCCAGGGCTAGAGAAATGGCATACAACTCGGCAGTGAGCACAGAGACTGTAGAAGGGATCCTGAAAGCAACAACTGAGCCACAGCAAACCATGGCAGAGCCTACAGTCACCCGATTTCGAACCATCGGTGTAAACGGGAATAGAAGGATGGTTCAAAATATGTTCAGTAAATAGAAGACGGTACTTTCAATCGGAAGTATCTGCCTTTTTCAGATGATTCAAGAAAAGGTCATATCTGGGAATGGTAATAAGCCACGGTGGAATTAGCTAATCATTGGGGACAGCAACGTTATACAATGCCAGACCCAATTCAGCCAGTTGCGCCTGGATATGAATGTCAAAAGAGGGAATTGCAGACCGTCTATTCTGAAAGAGCATAGCCCACTGAAGAAGAAAGACACAATCCCAGGTGGGATGCTGTGGTAAGGAGCAAAACTTGGTAGCATATTGTAGAGAAAGTTGCAAACGGAAGAGGTGAAGAGAAAGCTCATGGGACTCAGTATACAAACTCTGGACTGGAGAAGTGTGGAAAGCCCCCATGCAGAGCCGAAGCCCCAGATGGACACAAGGTTTGGTTTGAATTTCGCGTAATGCTACACGAGGGCTATCCGCAGACCAGTACCGCTACCTTACAACCACCTTGCCAGTCCGTGACATTTCACGAAAACAAACAATATCTGAATACTCGTAAGGAAATCGTAATGTTTTTTTTTCATTGTACTTGCATGTTAGTGGTCCAAGACAGTTCAGCAGGTCCCTGTATCGAAAAGATTGAGAAATACTATCCTAGAGAATGAAAAAATAGCAAAGTAGTTAGTAGTTGTGTATGGTGTTTCTCACACCTCTAAATGTGTATCCGGAAAGAGGATTGGCGTCCTAGTCCGCACACCGGGTGAGCATGTTTTGGTGTGACGGAGATTCGAACCCGCGACCCGCAATTTGCGTGTCGAGCGCCCTAACCACCTGGCCACAAATAGCAAAGTCAGCTAGAACGAGATAAGCTCAACGGCTTTTTCGACCACATGTATGTGAACTATGGATATATATATTATATATCCAGAGTGTACATACAAAATAAATGTTAAAATAAGAACAATTATAATAAGAATATTATATATTCATATATCACATTACATACATTATGCTGATCAACGTACAATCTAGGGCTTGTTCTTCTGATATTCGAAAAATTTCTTGTACTGGGAAGATGGGTTTTTGTTTGTTTGTAAGTCAGAGCATCACGCAGATTGAAAGTCTCACACAAGTCAATCTTTCTTATTTGGGCTTAACCAGAACCATTTCCAAAATACTGCTAAAGCTGGGAAGTTCTTAAATTTCTTAGATATTGTTAGTATGGATTAAAAATACATATAATGAATGTGTCTGTGCATTTTCATATGTACCTAGAAAATTTGTCACAGAAAAGACCTTACTATCAGGAGCAAATATAGAGTCTTTAGCTTTTAACTTAGCGTTTTCATGCAATAACATCCACCGCTCTTGGACTTCTGTTTCCATAAGTAAGTTCGGGCCATCTCCTAAGTTTGATGTTTACATATGTAACTATGGAATTCACTACTCTAAATCAATCATAAATCTTTATTTCTCTATCATACTATTGATCTCCAATGACAACAAACAAGTTCTTCCAGAATTACATTTATTCATCATTTTTGTTAATGTACTGGTTCCAAAAAACTCATAATAGCTGAAATTAACCCATTGACTGGGTTAAGTACTCGATTGAGAAGCAAGGATACAAAATTAGATCACCGGGATTATAACAATATACATAGTATCTTAAGACGCACCTGCTGTGAGCTTTAGAATATAAATAAATGGATGATTGAAGATTAATGATAGCGAAAGAAAGTAATTTTTCAGACTATGATTACATTTCAATAAAATGCATCTCTAAACTAATGACTAGCGTTCATATAAACATTAAAAGTTACGCAGTGACAATCAGTACAAATTGTATGTATAAAACAAGCCAGAGGGCGTTCAGCTTGATTTGTATTGCTGTATCTCAAAAATTCTCTCTTCCATTTAGATGTGTTTTACGGAAAACAAGCATCACTTATATGACTCTATTGTACCTTTGTTAAAACAGAGAAATTTATATATTAAATACGATTGTTGCAATTAGATTTAGTTATAAATATTAAACAACAAATTATTATTTATCATGAAATACCTGGAAAATCATACATTATATGCAAGTCATGGGCAAGTACTTCATAGAACAGATAGCTAGTACCTCGTGCTACTGGCAAAATGTTTTTGTATATGTGCTAAGCCATTGAACAAAACTCCTATCCTTACATGTAATAGTGTTTACTGTGCTAGTCTATGACGCAATTATCATTAAACTATTCCCTTCCAATAATAGGATGGCGACACACATTTCATGTGCAGTACTCCCTTTAAGCACTTTGTGTATACTAAAAGTTCATTCTTGACAAGTCAAAAGAGACACCAGAAATGGAGAAGTAGGGTGGATGATTCTGTGAAGATGACTTTTGTTTATGAATCATTGTTTGTAATAATTGTTATTGTAAATTGTATTGTTGTGTATATTAAAACGTATTTGTGTTAAAAACGAAAACGGTGTGTATTAATGTTGCTGGCAAATATCATAAACTGACTATATATTGGCATATATTTATATACTAAATCCAGAGTATAATTTAACTACTACTTGAAATTCTAATACGTAACAATCTAAAGTAATATCGTGAAACCCATTGGTTATGATAAAGTATGCATGTCCTTCATTTAAAGTAATATCGTGAAACCCATTGGTTATGATAAAGTATGCATGTCCTTCATTTAAAGTAATATTGTGAAATCCATTGGTTATGATAAAGTATGCATGTCCTTCATCTAAAGTAATATTGTGAAATCCATTGGTTATGATAAAGTAGGATTATTCTAATTAGATCATTTTTTAGAAAACAAAAACACGTGGATAAAGATAAACGAAAAACAAGAATACCATACGAAAGTTCACGAACGCGATGTATTTATTTAACGTGTATTTTTAGTGCACATTTCAACATTAAGAAAGATTATGTTTTTTGCGTTTTTTCGATTAGCCCTATAGATTGGAGATAAGATATTGACTATGTATCAATCAACTCTAAATACTGGTGTTACGTAATCATGTAAATTCGATTAATCGCTCATCATTAATTCTGACAAAGTATACGTGTTCTTCATCTAGAGGGCCATCATACAAAACATTGGTTAATTCATTTATTACAGAACCCTAAAACGGCTGTAATCAGCCTCGAGGACCGAAATCAAAATTTTATTCACCAATTCAACAAAACATATCGCAGAACTTTCTATATAAATCCCTCACAGGGTACCAACTCAACTAAACACTACAAATAATTCCAGGAACATTTTAACTAATGTCATGAATTAAAAACGGCATGCATAAGGGTACCAAAGAATGACGACTTCTGACTAATGCTCACATCTCAAACTTTGAGATTTTTTCGCAATATTAACATGATTTTTCTTTTTACATATGTCGGTTTTCATTGTTTTCAGTTGTACACACAAAATATTTAAGTTAGAAGTGTGTAAAATTCAAGAAATAGGATTGAAACACATAAGTAATGATATCACCTTGGTAACCGTCAATAATTTGAATTATGCAGATAGTAAACACAGTAGCTCTAACAGCCAGGGAGATTACAAAGAAATAATCACTTTTCTTTAAAATCAAAATTCTTATAGCGAAATAAGACAAAACTGTTCTTTTTCAAATCAAACGATCTTTCGTTAGATAAAACAAGTCCCCAACTTTCCTGTCATACAATTAATTTGAATTTTCTTGCATTTAATGGCTAATTGGGAATTAGGGAATTTATGGGCCAGCGGGGATGTTTCAAAAGTGCTACCGAGAAGGGTGGGTTACTTGTAATAAATCTAAAATAAACTTTGTGGGTACATGGAATGCATCTCAACCTTTGCAATAGCTCTTGCCAAATACGCCCTAACAACAGACATTTTTTATTGTCTTTTACCTCAAATTGTTATTGTAGTCGAGAACTGATATAAAAAAAGTTAATGTGTATCATCACAATTGACCAAGTATTTGATCAATCCTTTCATCAATTTGATCCCTTACTGTTTCAGAATTGTGGTGCCAGAGAAGAGAATTGATAATAAACAGCCGTGTTTTTCATTTGAGAGTTTATGTGACTAACTACCTAAAAATTC